GAGATAAGAGTTCCCCCGGGTAAGACTCCCCCTAGCTACATATCAAGATCAGCCAAATCGAATGCAAATGTGTGGAGGTGTGTTAATACACTGTAGAAAGGCACAACAAGTGAAGGAAACCTCACTCTCTTAATCAATCGGTTAAGGAAAGAAATTAAACTAGAAACCTTAGCTCTCTCAATCAATGGATTAAGGATTGCTACAATAAACTAGGGAGTCTAGATCTCTTAACCTTTCAGTTAAGGATTCCAACAATAAGCTAAGAGTCCTACCTCTCTTAACCGATAAAACTAAGGGTTGCAAATCCAATCCTTCGGAACTTAATCCGGAAAGCAAAGTAACACCCAAGTTAAAGTGTTGAATCAAAGTTTGAGAATGGCCCTAATTTATCCTAGGTAGGTGACTCAATCAGCCAAGGAATCCAGCTCATCAAAGCCTCCTTACAAATAGGAGAATTCCCTCTACCTAAGTCAAATTGGCATACTAATGAGAAATGAATAATACAACCCAAGCATCGTGAAAATACCTCAAACTTTGCATGAAACACAAACCCACACGCATAACATTTAATTTTTACAATCTATCACCTATTTCAAGCTAGGGTTCACAACATACAAGTGAAGAGGTAGGCTATTGTTGGAAGAAGATGGGCAAGCTTGTGCAGGCTCAAACTAAGGAAAGTGGAAGAATTTGACCAGAAGGGAAAGGCTGATTTTCGAGAGCCAATTATGGAAGGAACTAATCAAGATCAAATCAAAATCAACTGATGTAAAGGTAGCAAATCATCAACGGCTAAAAGGATGAATATATATATAGAGTGATTGAGGATAGGGAGAAGACGGTTCTTCTCGCAAAAATTCAAAACAAAGGCAAAGGGTGTTGTTGAGGTTTTGATTAGAGAAGAAGAGAGCTGTCGGGGTGAGAGCTTGTGGGAATTAGATTGATCGAGTTGAACAATAGCGGGGAGCTGTAAGTTCTGGGCGATTCTGATCAGAGTGACAGGGAGTCATCTTGGGATCAAAAGCTGTAACTGTGTAAACACAAACCAAAGATCATAGTACTACGTCAAAGGACTCAAGAGGAGTACCTTTGACCGTGGATTAGTCGATACTGAATTTATCAGTATCGGATACCACGTAAAAATACTGTGTCACGCGTGTTATTTACATTTCTGATGTGCTTTGTTTATTTCCAATTTTCATTGATGTTCTTGATTTAGTGTGCTTCTGAGTGTTATGCAGAACAGAGTTTGATCGACCTGTTGGAAGAAAGGAGAAGGGAACTAAGTTATTAAAACGCAGCGTGGAGAGTAACAAAGTTGGGCCTGTTTAAATCGACGGATCTAAAATAAAACTGAGCCCAACCAATCTCGGAGTTAGCTTCTGTTTCGGTGTCGTTTTGATTAACAAGAAAGGGAGCTGCTTTACTCTTTTCGTCGATTCGAGTTTCATTTCATTTCACCTTCTTTCACTTGATTCTACCAAAATCGCAGCTAGGATTTTCAGGGTTACAACTGATCGATCAAAGAAGGGAATTGCTGGCTGAGTCTCGCGCTCGACTCCACTAACACGTGGTATCAGAGCCCGGCTCCGGCGAACAAGGAGTAACTACCTGTGGAGGAAATGAGTTTGAGTGCAAGCAACGGAGGAGTGTTCATGGCCGACGGATTTTCTCAGACTAGGCCGCCAAGATTCGAAGGAGTGCACTATGGGTACTGGCGCAATCGCATGGAGCTGTTCATAGGATCGACCGATCCTGATCTCTGGATAATTGTGCTAGATGGACCACTTGAGGTGAAGGAGGCACGAGGTAAATGGTCCGATGAAGATAAGGAGAAACTTTCAACTGAATTCAAAAGCGACAAACCTCATGTATTGCGCGTTGGGCCCGGAAGAATATCATCGGGTCTCCGGATGCAAAACCGCAAAGGAGATCTGGGATAAGTTGCAAGTGGCTCATGAAGGCACCAGTCATGTCAAAGTATCCAGAATAAATCGATTGAAGCAGGATTTCGAATCCTTTGTGACGAAGCCAGAGGAAACCATCAAGGAAATGCACGACCGGTTCACCACTATAGTGAACAGCTTGAGGAATCTGGGTGTAGAGTATGGCAGCGGAGATCTGGTGAGGAAAGTTCTTTGGGCTCTCCCAAAACGGTGGACTCCTAAGGTTACTGCAATCGAAGAATCAAAGGATTTAACAAAGCTGAGCCTAGATGAACTTATGAGTTCATTAATAACACACGAAGAAAAACTCAGGAGAGAAGAAGGAGAGGAGAATCGAAAAGAAAAGAAAAGAAGAGTATTGTATTCAAGGCGTCAGGACCAGAAGAAGAATTTGATTGTCTGGAAGACATGGAAGATGAAGAGCTGGCCATGTTAAGTAAGCATGTGGCCAAGTTACTCAGACTACGCAAAGAGAAAAGAAAAGGAGGCTTTCCCAATCGTACAAGAGAAGCTGATTCAGAAAAGGAGCAAGGGAAAATTCTCAAGGTCAATCCTAGAATGAGACGAGAGTTCAGCAGCAATGACAACAAGGGTGGATCGTCAGCTGGATGTTTCAAGTGTGGAAGAAGTGGACACATCAAAGCATAGTGTCCACAAATGAAACGGGAGAAAGCATACACAGCCACCTGGAGCTGCAGTGAGGATGAAGAGGAGGAAGTCGACCCCAAATATGAAGCTTACATGGCTTTGGACGAAAGTGAAGATGATGTGGAAGCTTCACAGGTAAGTAATCTTAACTATTATTCTGATTCATGTGATGATGATGGTCAATTGATAGAAACCATTAGGGATATTCAGTTAGATTTTGCACGAATTAAATAAAAATATGTTAAAATGAAATCAGAATTTGAGGAGCTATCTAAGAATTACAATGAACTGAAAAAGGAAAAACTAGAATCAGATAGAAGATTGGAAGAAGACTTAAGAAGAAATGCTGTACTAGAGAAAGAAGTTTCTAAAGGTCAGAAAAACAATAATCACCTGAGTACTAAACATAAAAGACCATTAGAAACAAAGACAAACTATAAAAGATCAACTCCTGAGTGCTTTTACTGTCATGGACTAGGACACTACATTTCACATTGTCAGAAACGAATAGCTAAGGAAACCAGACTAAAAGAGACAGTGTGCTTTTCCTGTCATACAACAGGACATATGAGTTATAACTGCACTAATGCTAAGATAAAAGGTAGAGTATCCAAATTGGTATGGATACCTAAAACCAAATAAAACATTTCTGTGTCCAGGTCTGCTTCCAAGTGAGCATGGAAGACAGTGAATGGATCCTGGACAGTGGCTGCTCACACCACATGACAGGAAATGAAAAACTCTTCTCTAAATTGACTAAGGGTAAGAAAGGTAAGGTTTATTTTGGGGATAACTATTGCACTGATGTTTTAGGGAAGGGAGAAATTGGATCAGGACCAACTATAACTAACGTAATGTGGGTTGATGGGCTTAAACATAACTTGTTCTCAATCAGTCAAATGTGTGGAGAGACAAATAGGGTAATTTTCGAACCTAACAAATGCTATGTTGAGAATATTGAGAGCGGAAAAATACTGTTTACAGGTAGAAGGAAAGGAAAACTATTCTGCATAAACCTGAATAATAAAAATGATTTCAATGAGATGTGTTTGGTAACTGTAGATAAGGATGAACAACTAGAATGGCATAGGAAGATGGGCCATTTCAGTGTAGGGTCATTAGCTAAACTAATTAGTTTGGGAAGTGTAACTGGAATACCTAAAATCAGCAGTAGAAAGGAATTCTTTTGTGAAGCGTGCACAAGAGGTAAACAGGTCAGATCCACCTTTAAAAGTAAACTTGTAATCTCTACATCTAAACCACTAGAATTACTACATCTGGATCTCTTTGGTCCTAGTAATGTTATGAGTCTTGGTGGAAAATACTATGCTTGTGTTGTAGTAGATGATTATTCTAGGTTTACATGGGTTCTATTTTTATCAAACAAAGGAGAGACATTTGTGCAATTTAAAAATCTGATTAAACGACTAGAAAATGAAAAGGGAACCAGAATTGTAAGTATAAGAAGTGATCACGGGGGAGAGTTCATATCCGACAGCTTTGATAAATTCTGTGATGAAACAGGAATCTTTCATAATTTTTCTGCCCCTAGAACTCCACATCAAAATGGAGTAGTAGAAAGGAAAAATCGTACCTTAATAGATATAGCCAGGACAATGTTGAATGATTATGGCTTGCCTAAGCATTTTTGGGCAGAAGCCATAAACACTGCATGCTATATTATTAATAGAGGGTTAATTAGGTCTAAACTAAACAAAACACCATATGAGCTGTGGAAAAACAGAAAACCAAATGTGGGATACTTTCATCCATTCGGATGTAGGTGTTTTGTTCTGAATACCAAAGATAACTTAGGAAAATTTGACTCCATGTCCGATGAAGCAATTTTCTTGGGGTATTCTGTTCATAGTAAGGCTTTTAGAGTATATAACAAACGGACCCTCAAGGTTGAGGAGTCCATAAACGTGGTATTTGATGATTCCTCTAGTAAGTGTGCAGATCAAATTGATGAAGATGATGATCTTGGGCTAGGAAGATCATACAAATTAAGTCAGGCAGATCAAGCTGAAGAGGAGACGAGAAAAGAAAGTTCACAAGAACCTACAGTTAAAGAACACACATCTGAGACTGATGGGAACAGAGTAATAGCAGCCCCCTTGCACATTCAAAGAAGGCATCCATCATCTCAGGTCATTGGTGATCTGAAAGAAGGTATGTTAACTCGTTTTAAATCATCCTCCATACAAACTGCCTTTGTGTCTCTTCTAGTACCTAAAAATATCAAGGAGGCTCTGAATGATGAATTCTGGACAGCCTCTATGCAAGATGAAATAGGATATTTTGAAATACTGAATGTCTGGGAATTGGTTCCAAAACCAGAGGATAAACCTATAATTGGAACTAAGTGGGTCTATAAAAACAAAACTGATGAAATTGGTGACATAACTAAGAATAAGTCTAGACTAGTAGCACAGGGGTATGATCAGGAAGAAGGAATTGATTTTGATGAATCTTTTGCTCCTGTGGCTAGATTAGAAGCCATCAGACTGTTGTGTGCATATGCTGCCTCTCAAAATTTCAAACTTTATCAGATGGATGTCAAAAGCGCTTTTCTTAATGGTGATTTAAAAGAAGAAGTCTATGTTGCTCAACCTCCTGGGTTTGAAAACCACAAGTTTCCTAACCATGTATACAAACTTAACAAGGCTTTATATGGATTAAAGCAAGATCCTAGAGCTTGGTATGATAAGCTAAGTAATTTCTTAATGTTGGATGGTTTTCGAAGAGGGTCAGTGGATAAAACCTTATTCATTAAAAGTCTAAATGATCACACTATGCTTGTTCAAGTGTATGTAGACGATATAATCTTTGGGTCATCTAATCAAGAAATGTGCAAACAGTTTGAGATAGCTATGAAAGGGGCATTTGAGATGAGTTTAATGGGGGAACTAACTTACTTCCTAGGTCTGCAAATACAGCAAACTAGCAAAGGAACTTTCATAAGTCAGACAAAGTACTTAAATAACATGCTTGAACGATTTGATCTTAAAAACTTGAAATCTGCAGTTACACCAATGGGTTCCTCAGTAAAACTTTCATTGGATGAATCAGGAGAATCAGTTAGTGATAAGTTATATCGTGGAATGATTGGCTCTCTGCTCTATTTGACTGCCAGCAGGCCTGACATCATGTATAGTGTGTGTGCTTGTGCTAGATTTCAGAGTAATCCTAAACTTAGCCATTTAACTGCAGTAAAACGTATTTTTCGTTATCTTTCTGGTACTAGTACACTTGGGTTGTGGTATTCATGTGAATCTAGCCTTGAGTTATTAGGATACGGTGACTCTGATTATGCTGGCTGTGTGGCTGATAGGAAAAGTACTTCTGGAACGTGCCATTTTCTTGGCACGTCATTAGTTTCCTGGGCCAGTAAGAAACAGAGTTCTGTTGCCTTATCAACTGCCGAGGCAGAGTATATTGCAGCAAGGTTAGGATGTACTCAACTGTTATGGTTGAAGTACCAGCTTCAGGACTATGGCCTTAGTATAGGATCTCTTCCAATATTGTGTGATAAAACGAGTGCAATCAATATGACTAAAAATCCTATTCAACACTCGAGAACTAAGCATATTGAGGTCCGGTATAATTTTATTCGTGATCTCGTTCAAGATGGGAAAATTCACCTAGAATTCATTAATACAGAGATGCAATGGGCGGATATTTTTACAAAACCCTTAAGTGCTGATAAATTCTTACCAATTCGACATGAACTTGGCATGTTTACTCAAGAAGAAATTAACAAAATTTGATTGAATATAACATATTTTCTTGCCTTGTTTTCTCGGATATGATTGAATATAACAGAATTTGATTGAAATTAACAAAATTTGATGATTATTTGTTGATTCTTTCCCTCTCGTGCTGATTCTTTCCCTTCCACTCAAAGAGTTTCCTCCAGATTCAATGGTTCTCAGCACTTATAACCCTAGTCACATCCCTTCGTCTTCCCCACTCCCTTCTACTGACCCTTGACTTATCTTGAGCAGAAACAGAAATCAAACACTTCCTTTCACCATGGCATCTTCCAATGCTCAGCTGAAGTCATCTGTTCTGTTCAAAAATCAGAGTTTTAGGAATGCTGCCACCTATTCTTGGTACCTTTGTCGCTTCCGCGATCGACCTCTTTATCCATCATTCTCCATTCAGCCTACTGCTTTCTCCAAATATGACATGAATATTCCTGCCTATCTACATAAGTTAGGATGGGAATCTCTGGTGTCTGACCTGAGGTTCAGTCAATGCCCTGAGGCTGTACGTCTCTTTTATGTCAATCTTTGAAGGGGTCCAGGAAGTGATCCTTCTTTCTTCACTACTATTGTCTATGATTATGAAATCAAAGTGACCCCTGAGATGCTGGCATCAGTGCTGGAAATACCCCATTCTGGGATTAGGGCTGGCACGGACAGTGAATTCCAACACTTTGGCTTCCAGTTTGATCACGCTCTTGCTTCTCTGACGCGTGATATAGGACGCTGGTTTGCCTCCCCACTTGCTGCTGGGAGACTACCAGACGACCTCAAGGTCCTGTTTTTCTTTCTCACTCGATGGTTTCTACCTCGTGATCTCGCCAGTACAGATTTTATCCATTCCCCTGAGCTTTGGGTGCTCTTTAATGCGCGTGCTGGTCGTCGTATTAGCTACGCCTCTCTCATGTTCCAGCATATGATCAAGTTTGGGTCGGAGTACTATAGTGGTCCACTGCCATTCGGTCCCCAAATCACTCGTCTCCTGTACCGGTTGGGGATTGATTTGCGTGACAAAGTCATTGTGTGCGATGTGCTTGATGACTTGCATCCTCAACATGTTCTCGAACGTGTGGATGCCTTGGTTGGTCCCCGTAAGCCTGTCACTGGCTCAGGGGGAGTGGCCAGTCAGCAACAAATGGTTTCTTCGACCTTGGTCAATGCAGCAGCTGCAGCATACAAGCAAGAGGCCAGTGCCAAGAGCGGTCCAAAAAGGAGGATGCTGATTGAAAAAGATTTGATGTTGCCAAAGTTTATCTACGAATCTAATCAAATCAGTGAGCCAATCAGTCCTGACTCTCATTCTGGTGATGAGGATGATCGAGTTTCAAGCTATGTCTCGCCTCCAAATTATCCCTTCTAGAAGAGAGTCTACCAGAAGTGTCTAAGGTCTAGGAACTGAGTGTAGTTGTGCGATGGTCTGCTGTGATGGTTGAGTCAGTGTCGAGGATTTTGTTTTGATCTAGAAATTTGAGAAAGATGAATAAAAGACAAGATGAATAAGTGAAGCTGTGTTAGTTTAATATTTTTTTTGGAACAGGCTGCACCCACTGTTTGTTAGATGTGTGCAGGTTGCTGAGTTGAGCCACTGACAAGCTTAGGGGGAGAATGTTGGAAGAAGATGGGCAAGCTTGTGCAGGCTCAAACTAAGGAAAGTGGAATAATTTGACCAGAAGGGAAAGGCTGATTTTCGAGAGCCAATTATGGAAGGAACTAATCAAGATCAAATCAAAATCAACTGATGTAAAGGTAGCAAATCATCAACGGCTAAAAGGATGAATATATATATAGAGTGATTGAGGATAGGGAGAAGACGGTTCTTCTCGCAAAAATTCAAAACAAAGGCAAAGGGTGTTGTTGAGGTTTTGATTAGAGAAGAAGAGAGCTGTCAGGGAGAGAGCTTGTGGGAATTAGATTGATCGAGTTGAACAACAGCGGGTAGCTGTAAGTTCTGGGCGATTCTGATCAGAGTGACAGGGAGTCATCTTGGGATCAAAAGCTGTAACAGTGTAAACACAAACCAAAGATAATAGTATTACGTCAAAGGACTCAAGAGGAGTACCTTTGACCGTGGATTAGTCGATACTGATTTTATCAGTATCGGATACCACGTAAAAATACTGTGTCACGCGTGTTATTTACATTTCTGCTGTGCTTTGTTTATTTCCAGTTTTCATTGATGTTCTTGATTTAGTGTGCTTCTGAGTGTTATGCAGAACAGAGTTTGATCGACCTGTTGGAAGAAAGGAGAAGGGAACTAAGTTATTAAAACGCAGCGTGGAGAGTAACAAAGTTGGGCCTGTTTAAATCGACGGATCTAAAATAAAACTGAGCCCAACCAATCTCGGAGTTAGCTTCTGTTTCGGTGTCGTTTTGGTTAACAAGAAAGGGAGCTGCTTTACTCTTTTCGTCGATTCGAGTTTCATTTCATTTCACCTTCTTTCACTTGATTCTACCAAAATCGCAGTTAGGGTTTTCAGGGTTACAACTGATCGATCAAAGAAGGGAATTGCTGGCTGAGTCTCGCGCTCGACTCCACTAACAGCTATTCCATAGCTAGGAAAAGGATATAAAAAAAGGAGAGAGAAAGAACCATGAAGAGATGACAATTTTCCTTCATTGTTGCTTGAATCTCCCTTTAGAAAAAGAAACCTTCAATCCTCTAGCTTAGGGAAAGCCCAAATCTCCTTCTTCCTCATTTAAATGGCACTTTTTCTCGCTATAATAGAAAGAAGAAACTCTAATCTCCCATTAGAAACCCTTCTTCATTCTGGAAACTATAACTCTACCCAAAAAGTTCTCCTTCTTCTTCCTTCTGCTGTAGACTTTTTAGTCTGCAGAAATTAGCTCGAACAGGACCACAAACACGTCCACCTTTATTCGTGTTCTATCCCAAGTGCTTTGCATTTTGCCGTCTGCAAGAAAACCCATAACACGGCCAATGAACATGGGCGTGTTCAGGCCGTGTTTGTCAAAACTCGACGAAATGCTCCGTTTTTTCCCCACTTCACGGCCTCTTCATTGACTATCACGTTCTGCGCGACCGTAGTAATATTAAATGCAGTGAGATGGCAAAAGCCTCTGAAACTCAGCTGCGGACATGGCCTATGAACACGGTCGTGTGTAGGCCATGTTCGTCAAATGGCGAGAATCTTCTAGCGCCTGAAATACTGTCGTGTCCAGGCTAAAGGTGTTGAACATGGTCTGGGAACATGGTCTTGTTCTCTCTGTTTACTTCATTTCTTGACATTCTTGCCTCCTTTCGTTTCGTAACTTGTCCTCGACCTTCCACACGTGTTAGGGCTTGAAATGTATCAACAATAGCACAACCTAGCATAAAATAGGTCGAGAGACAATGAAATGAAAAGTCAAACTATCAAGAAATGAAGTGTAAAACATGTACAATTGGATCCGAATCAAGCCCCATAAAGTTAATACCCCATACGTCGAAAACCTCACATGTAATGGAAATGTTTTGGGGCATCTCGTCTCGGGAAGAAATGTTCCCCAATCTCTGGCATCTGTCACATCTATTGGCGAAATCTGTGGCATCATTGAAGAGAGTTGGCCAGAAAAACCGGGACTATAATATCTTTATTGTCGTCCGAGCACACTGTAGTGGCCTCTTGCCGCTCCAATGTGGCAATGCGAAATGATTTTTCTTGCTTCCTATGAATCCACACATCTCCTAATCATCCCATCCGATCCTACCTTGAATAAGTACTGGTCATCCCAAAAATAGTGCTTGAGATGCGAAAAGAATTTGATCCTCTCAAGTCCAGTCATGTCCAATGGAAGTCGTCGTGTGGCCAAATAGTTTGCCACATTGGCGAACCATGAGGAATGATCATCACGTGATTGAACATTGTAAAGTCTTTGATTGGGGAATGAATCATTAATCTCTTTTCTTGACTCATCTTTGGCTTCGGGATTCCAATCTAGAAAGATGATCTGCTGCGAGGTTTTCTGCTCCCCTCTTGTCTTTAATTTCTATGTCAAATTCTTATAACAAGAGCACCCAATGAATAAGCCGAGGTTTCGCATTGATTTTTGTCATCAAATAACGAAAAGCATAATGATCGGTATAAATAGTAACCTTTGAGAGGACGAAGTAAGGTCGGAATTTTGACAAACGCAAAAACCACCGCTCGTAAATCCTTCTCTGTAGTTGTATAATTCTCTTGATCATCATTTAGGGTCTTACTTGCATAGCAGATGGGTTAGAAATGTTTATCCCTCCGCTGCCCCAAAACTGCTCCACGGAAAAGTCACTCGCATCGCACATCAATTCGAAGGGTAAAGTCCAATCCGGTGAGACCATAATAGGTCCAGTAGTTAACCACTTCTTTTTTGTTTCCAAAGCCTACTTGCATTCTGCAGAAAACTCAAAAACTGTATCCTACTCTAATAATTTAGTAAGGGGTAGAAAAATCCTTGAAAAATCTTGAATGAATCTCCTATAGAAACCGGCACGACCAAGGAAAATATGAATCCCTTTGACAGAAGATGGTGGGGGCAACCGGCTAATAGTTTCAACCTTCTCCCTGTCTATTGATAACACTATGTTCGAACATGTTTTTCCCATCATTTCTTGATTGTTTGAGCTTGTATTCTCGTTATTGTGGCTGTTTTACGCTAGGTTGTGTTGGTTTTTGATGTTTCAGGTCCTAGTACGTGAACGGGGGTGAAAGAGCGAGTTTTGGGATGATTTGGAGCGAACAGGCAGAGAGCTGGGAGGAGTTACGGGCCAGCATTGGGAGTTACGGTTGCAACTGTAACTTGTCACAAGAGCTCGTAACTTCTCTGAGGAGAAATGCTAAAGTTCCATATGATTCTTCAGAGTTACGGTCTGGGGCGTAATTCACCCCTTGCACCCGTAACTCTAGAGAAGTGACGACTCCTGGTTCCATGAGCATTCCTGGAGTTATAGCCTCCCCTCTCAAGTTACGGTTGCGACCGTAACTCCTCCAATCAACCCGTAACTCTTGATTTACGGAGCACCACGACGATAACATTTTGAGGAGGAGTTACGGGCTAGGAGATGGAGTTACGGTAGTAACTTAGGCCGTAACTTGCAATTATCTAGCGTACAAAAGAGCTGCTCTGGAGAATGGCTGGGGATTCAGATTTTTGAGTTCTAAAAGGCAGAGAGAGAACCCTAGAGAGAGTAACGAAGGACAATCCTTGGGCACGGATTGGAGCGATTTGAAGACATCATAGCTCAGTTCCTCACCATCAGAGTACCGATTGGCCGCCAGAAGCAGAATTTCATTGTTCACCTGATAATTTCTCCTTCTAGCACAATTTTTTTACTCCTTTCCATGGAGTAAACTCCCCTTTCATATGGGAATGAAGAACCCTAGTTTTGTAGGCTAGGAATGGTTGTATGATCCCCGTTTGTGAATTATTGATTTGATATATTCAATTGAGGCATATATCAAAATTGCATGAGTCTTGATCAAACCTGTGTGATTCCTTCTTTAACCTAGAACGATAGTCTCTACATAGGTTAAAAAAGCAACCTTAATTTGGAAGTGGTGAATCGACTGCTTTGATCGAGAAGTCAATTCACTGCTCTGTACTGGAATTAAAACAAGTAGAGGAAGTTTGGTGTGTTAATGCCTTGGTAGTTTATGCTGGTGGAGGTTAATCGCCCGCCGGGTATTCGAACCAAGAGGGTCTAGTCTTCTTTAGTCGAGATTCCAGACTTGTCAAGAACTTTCCGCAGTGTATCTATCAATCACAACAAATTGGGAACATATAATTTGAACTATCTGCATACTAGTGGTAACCATACCTGGATGACCTTTGAAATACTTGAAAACCCAGAACATTTCTTGCGTTTTGTTTATTTTGCATTTGAACATCTCACTGCACTTAGTTTGCTAGATAATAGAAGTTCACGGAGTAGGCAGTAGATCTAGAACACGGGTTGATAAATTAAACTCCACCACTATTCAACATTTCCATTCTACGTTTACACTTGTTCGTAGTTTTGTGTTGAGTTTTAGCGTGTCATCTACCTCAAAGCCTTCTTCAATATCTTGTGGCCAAGCACTATTCCTTCTTTAACCATGAAATGACATTTCTCCCAATTGAGCGATAGGTGGGTTTCTACACATCGCTCTGAAAACTTCTCCAAATTTCGAAGACATAAAGCAAAAGAGTCCCCAAACACAGAAAAATCATCCATAAAGACTTCCATTATATCCCAGACCAACCTGTTAAAAATGGTCATCTTGCAGCGTTGAAATGTTGCGGGAGCATTGCAGAGACCAAATGGGATCCTTCTGTAAGCAAATTTCCCGATAGGACAGGTGAAGGTAGTCTTCTCTTGGTCTTCGGGAGCTAAAGGAATATAGAAATAGCCCGACATTCCATCCAAGAAGCAGTAGTAATCATGACCGGCATGTCGCTCCAATACTTGATCAAGGAATGAGAGTGGGAAGTGGTCCTTTCTAGTAACCTCACTTAGTCTCCTATAATCAATACAAACCCGCCATCTTGTGACTGCCCAGGTAGGAATGAGTTCATTGTTCTCATTCAGGACGACCGTCATACCCCCTTTTCTTGGGCACTACCTGGGTTGGGCTCATGCACGTGCTATGAGAGATAGGGTAAATGATTCATGAATCAAGAAGTTTGATTATCTCCACTTTGACCACTTCCACCATATTCAGATTGAGACGTAGTTGCGGGTGGACGACTGGTTTGCTTGTGTCCTCTACATTGATCTTGTAAGTACATAATGAAGGGATGATTCCTTGAATACCCATTATCTTCCAAGCTATAGCCTTCTCATGTTTCCGTAAAAGCTGAATAAATGTTGTCTTTTGCTCATCCTTGAGTCTCACATTAATGATAACCAGGAGTTTTGAGTCCTCCCCTAAGAAGGCATATTCAAGGTGTTCAGGTAGAGGCTTTAATTCTAGGCTCGGTGGTTCTTCGAATGAGCGTGCGACCTGGGGTATTTCAGGTAGAGGCTTCGTCTCTTTATCTGCCATTTGATCGCCTTCATTTTCTAAGGCATTCAGCTGCTCATTGAGATTCATCTCCAGTGCGAATTCAGTTCCTAGTACAAGACATTGTTCAAGAGGGTCATTAGACTCATGGCATAGAGAAGCAAGTACACCATATAAATAAGGTAAATCTTCTGAGAAATGTAACTCATCACATCCTTCTTTAGTGTGTGCACTAGCTTGATTCGAGAAAGTGATCTCCTCATCCCCTAATCTTTGTGTTAGTTTACCATTGTGCACATTAATAACAGACTTGGAAGTACCTAGGAATGGCCGACCGAGGATGAGAGGGGCATCTATATCTCCAGGCATATCAAGAATAACAAAGTCAGATGGAAATGTAAAGCAATCGACCTTGACAATTGAATCCTGAATCATGCCCTTAGGAAGAACGATGTACCTATTAGCTAACATATAGTCATGTGAGTAGGGGCTAGTTCACTTTTATCTAACTTATTAAAAACTTGATAAGGTATAACATTAATACTAGCTCCTAAATCGGCTAAACATCTCTTAAACAAGAAATCACCAATCATGCAAGGTAAAGTGAAACTCCTGGGTTGTTCTTCTTCTCTGGAAGTTTACTCTGAAGTGAAAGGGAGCTCATTTCATTGAGCTCAAAAGTTGAGATCTCCCCCAATTTCTCATTCTTGGTTAACAAGTTCTTCAACTACTATGAATACTTGGGGATTTGAGTCGCAACATCGAGGAATGGAATGTGCATCGGAATTTGTTTCAGTAGGATTAAGAATTCTGCAAACTCATTGTCCAGGGCGTCGTTCTGCAATCTGGAAGGGTATGGTGTGGAGGGGGGCATGCTTCCCAATCTAGTGTTAATTTGTTCCCCATTCTTCTCTAGCGTGGGAGTGGTTTCCTCGTTACCCTTCCTCTTTTCGTCCCCTGTCACTAACTGCAAAAGTTGCAACACTTTCTCTAGCTGAGTTTGGAGTCCCATCTCATTTCGTTCTTGATTCTTTTCCAACTCTTGGAAATTAGCTGGTAGAGCTCCCAAAAGTTCTTCCACTTTCTTGGTTCTATCAAAGCTTTCCCTTAAAATTTTCTGAAAATGAGATAGGCAACCCTCTAGGTCCTCCGTCTCCCGTGGGGAGATATCCATACTCTTATCCCTAGTGATTGCTTCTGAATGTAAAATTGACGAGAGTTCCCCAATTTCCATCTCCGAAGGTGATCTTTCCTTAAACAAGTTCCCTGACAGAGGTGAGGAGCTTAGAACTTGTCCCTGCTCGAGTGATGGAGGTTGCTTGATCTCTTCATTCTTTGGTAAGGTTGCTGACAAGCGGTGAGTCGGGGCTGATCTTCCTCGTGTATTTCCTTCCTATCATGCTCAGTTTCCACCATATCTTGAAAGAGGGATAAGACAATTCTTGGTTCCTTTTTCTTCAAATTTCCCCCGCTATCATCAATATGCGATTCTTTTATTCGATTTTTAGTCCGTTGAAGAAGATTTCCACTTTTCGCCAATCTTCAATATCGTGGTGAGGACATTTGTATAAAAGAACAATGAACCTCTCCCATGCTTCCCCCAAATTTTCTTGAATCACTTGTTTAAATGTGTTGATAGTCGCTCGCATGCTCGCAGTCTTCGAAGGAGGAAAATATTATGTTCGGAAGCTTATCGCAGTGCTCCTCCCATGAAGTGATAGAGTGATGAGTTTGACTCATGAACCATCTTCTGGATTCCCCAACTAGTGAGAAGGGGAAAAGGTGAAGGCGAACAAACTCCCTAGCATCCTCATTCACATTCAACCCATCGATCAGATGGAGAAATTCCTCTACATGATGATGGGGGATTTCCTCCTTGCCCCCTTGAATTGATAATCGGTCTTGATCATCGAAATCATTCCAGGTGTGACCTCACACTCTTGCCCCGTGAGGGCGGGGTATAGTATTGGGGACTGAATATCCTTGGTTCCTGGGCAAGAGTAGAATCCCGTCGTTCTTGGCCTTCGGGGCACTTGAGGTTGATGCTCCGCCATTGGGGGAGGTTGAGGTCTTGTAATTCTTCTTAGATTCCAAAGGGTTATCTCGATTTCCGAATCTAGAGGTCATATTGCAAGGAATCCCTTCCTCGCATACAACGATGATACAAAACACAACCTGAACAACCCGTGATATACAAAGGTGGCAAATACAAATACAAACAAAGACACGAATATGAAAACAAAATACGAAACAAAAGCACGAAAAAAATTAAAACGAAATAAACCAACAACACAAACATAAACACAATACAAAACAACAACTAAAGCAAGATAAAAACTAACAACTTAATGGTTTTCTACTAGTTGCCAAGGTTCCTCGGCAACGGAGCCAAAAAAGCTTGATCACTTGAATTCGTCCATGTTATTGTCAATGGTTTGCACGTACCAACAACTATCCCATCTAAGGCAAGTTTAACCTAGGATGTGATTTCCATATAGTGGTAATCAAGGTCGTATTCTACTCGGGTCTTGGTACCCTAGCTTACTTCCCACCTTGTTGTTAATTAGGTAATCGGTTTTTGAGGTTTTGATTGAAGGATATGAGGAAACACTAGTCTAGAGGTTGATCAAAGCTAAAAGCAGCTACTTCCGAGAACTAATCCTCCCCTATCTTAGGGATACTATGCATGTATAGATACTTAGGATTATCAAATGTGGAGAGTGTGCTCTTTTCAGTGGGCCTTCATCGTTATCCACACGCCTCCGAGTACACCTCCCTAAACCCATGTTTCATTCACCTCGATCTAGGCTATCGTATCTGGTGCATTAAGCTTATGTTCAATGGACACTATCCACCGTCCACACCGAGGTTTCATCCCGAGTTTCATCTAGGAAGGCTACCTATAGCAGGGGGTTCGGTCGCCTCGACCACTATAGGCCCCCATTCACTCATCTAACCTAAATTCGCCAGATGGCACATACCCGTCTAACCCTAGAACTCCGTACCTAGCGTGTTAGCATAAAGCAGACTAAGAGGGAAGATTGGGGATACTTTCCCAAGCGTCATCATTTAGGAAAGAGTGGCATTAAGAATCTACCAGACAAACACATTCATTCATTCAAAATCTAAAATATCCATACATACATACATACATACATAAATCCTAAAATTAGGGTTTGGGGTTTAGAACCCCTAGTACCTTATAGGACTACTCCATAAAGGAGGGAAGAAGATACATGGTAGAAACATAAGAAGACTTGAAGTTGGGGAAGATCCTTCTTGCTCCTAGCTCCTTCTTCTTCTCATTCTCTTCTTCTCCCTACAGCTTATCTCTCTTCTCTCTCTAGATCCATAAATTTTACCCAAAATCAGCTCTCTTAAAATGGGGAAAGGGGTCTTCTATTTATAGGCATTCTGGACTCGGGGAAGTTCGCGGCCTAAGGCTAGGAGATCACGAACAGGATCTTCTAATGATAGGTCGCAATATCAAAACGACGTCGTTATGGCCTTATAAAGGGGGAAGATCGTTGGCTGACTTCGCGGTCGCGATCCTTGAGTCGTGCGCGACTGGGGAAACTCTCTACTTCTCCAAGGATCCCTCTTCACAAAGTTCGCACCTTGGGCCTTAAAGATTGATGTCGCGATCTTTGGGTTATGGGCCACGATCTTCAGCAAGTTTTCACGACTGGAGATCCCCGTCGTGATCTTTGGCTTCTAGGCCACGATCTTTGATCCTTGCTCCTCTTTTACACTTGTGACCTTGTTTTGTACCTAATTTTCACATATTGACTAATACACCCTATAATCACATCAAAATCAAATAGGAACGAAATGGGTATGCATTTGACAATGTTTAAACACTTAAGCACATGAATTGGAACAAAACATGGCATAAGATAGAGGGTAAATAACACAAATTTTGGTGTTATCGGTCAATTTCATTAACCGTCAGATCACACCTATTCTAAAGCAGTGGAGTCCGTTTCAAGTTTTGTATTCACGTCTGCCTGACTATCAATTGCTTTGCGAGTTTGCTTGTGTTTGTATTGTTCTACTTCCAGCCAGAGAACGTAAGAAGCTCACTCCTAAGGCAACAAAATGTGTGTTCATGGTTTATAGTGACAAGCATAAGGGATATGTGTGTTATGACGTCGAACACTAGAAGATTCATATTTCATGTCATTTGGTGTTCGTGGAACATCTCTTCATTATTGCTCTACTTCAACTGGAGACCCCCATGACTTGCACTTTCTTCCATTCCCCTCCTTTTCCAGAGGTTTCATCTACGCTTGTTGACATTGATGATCCTGATCCTAATATTGTTTTTGACGCCCTCTATCCCGTTACACTCGAGCTCTAATTTTGAGTCCTCCTCCTCAGGCTCCTGCTCCTTTTCTCACCGGACTCATCATCCTCGTCTTCTTCTGATGGTTCCAGTGAGTCTGCCTCGTCCTCTCAAGGCTCATCCTCGTCATCTCAGCCGGCCCCCGCCATGATGCTCTCCTCGCATCACTAGCGAGCAGCCGCCTACTCGCCATGCATATATTTTTTTTATCTTACCCTGCTCAGTCTGTCTTTGTTCATGCCACGTACAAACAGGCTAAGGGTTTGGACCCATGGGAAAAGGCCATGGATGATTAAAATGATGCTCTCGACCGTGCTCATACCTGGGACTTGGTGGACTATCGTCTAGAGTATTTTGTGATCGGGAACAAGGGTGTACACTTTGAAACTCCTTCCAGGTGGCTCGATTGATCGCCATAGGACGAGACTTGTTTCCCATGGCTTCAAGCAGGCCTTTGGCATTGATTATGATGAGACTTTTGCTCCTGTGGCAAAAATGCAGATTTTTCGGAGCTTACTTGATGTTGTTGCTTTAATAGGATGGCCATTACTCAGCTGGATGTTAAAAATGCTTTTCTTCATGGTGATTTGAAGTTAACCATCTACATTAAACGTCCTCCAAGCTACACTAAGGGTGATCCTTCTCAGGTTTTTTGGCTTTATCGATTCTTGTATGGTCTCAAGCAAGCGCCTCGTGCCTGGTTTGAGAAATTTCAACCTATTGTTATTCATGCTAGCTTGGTTTAGAGTGAGAACGACCCATCCTTGTTCTTGTGGTGTAGTGGTGATTAGTGGCGATGATCAGCAGGATAATCAGGATCTTACAGCTATCTTATGAACGTCTTTCAACTTAAAGGACTCAGGGATCTCTCTTACTTCTTCGGCCTTGAGGTTGATCGACGTCTTCCTCGTGAGTCAACGGATATACATTGTTGACTTCTTAGAATAAGCAAAGATGGATGATTGTCTTCCTTGCTTTACTCCCACGGAGCAGAGCCTCAAGCTTAGCTAGTTTGACGGGGAGTTGCTTTCTAATGGGTCTCACTATAAGAGCATTGTGGGTAGTCTTTTATATTTGGTTCATACTCAGCCAGATATCGCCTATCCTGTCCAGATGGTCAGTCAGTTTATGACTACTCCACGTTCTCACCATCTCACTGCATTTTAGCACATTTTTCGCTATCTCAAGGGTACTCTGAATGTCGGTCTATTCTTTCTTGTTGTTGGTTTGCCTACACTGGAAACGTATGCTGATGATAGGGATGGCAATGGGGCGGGTTTCCTAAACCATCCCCACCCCCATTTTCAAATACCCAAACTCATTCCCGCCCCATACCCATGCGAGGAAATGTTTTGCCAACCCATCCTCATACCCGTAGGATTCGGGTACCCATGGGCAACACTCGTCCTCCTACATCCAACATTATTATACATAAAACTTAGAATAAAATTTTTAATTCTAATACTAAACGAATCTATAATATCACAAAGTCAATAAAACACATTCATTTTCTTAATACGGTTCAAAAAAATATTATCCTAAAACATCCATTAGTACATAATATAGAAGTACAATATTTTCCAAATTATTATGCTCCAACTCTGATACATCTACTAAGTAATAATTAACTAACATAATCTTGTTGATAATGGAAAAGTGAAAGACTGAAGGAAAATTGAGAGAAATGAATTAGGTTTTGATTAGGGTGGCCACTCCATTGCATTTCTACTATTTATTTTCTTGAGTTATCCTCATTATCATTGATATATTACAATTTGATCCACATATTTTTTTATATTTGAAGAAATTCTCTTGGTGGGGCGGGTATGGGGCGGAGGAGGCTAAAACCATACCCGTCCCATACCCATCGAACTTTTTGCGGATTCTACCCATACCTGCTTCATAACCGGTCAAAGCAGGGATTCCCTGTGTTAACTGAGTCGGGAGCGGTTGGGTACCCACGGCCATGGGTTTGATTGCCATTGCTTGCTGATGATGATTATGCTGGTAGTCTGGATATTCGAGAGTCTACTTCTGGCTGGTGCATCAAGTTGGGGTCTTCGTTTATTTCCTCGCGTTGCAAGAAGCAGGATTGTGTGGCCAAGTCATCTACTGAGGCCAAATACATGTTCATGTATGAGGTTGCATTGGAGTTTGTTTGGTTGAAGAGGCTTCTTACTTATCTGGGTGTTGACTTTGTGGTGCCCATGCAACTTTTCGCGGATAATACTAGTGCTATCAAGATAGCCACTAATCTGGTTCTTCATGATCTTACAAAGCACATTGAAGTGCATGTCCATTACCTTGGCCAGTTGGTTTCTGAAGCCCTCATCACTCTCTCCTACATTACCTCGGAGGATCAGACGACAGATTTACTGACCAAGGCGGTCTTGAAGGCTCGTCATTGGTTTCTGGCTCACAAATTGATGTTCCGTCAGCATCATCAATTTGAGTGACGGTGTTGATGATAGTTGTATATGTTTAGTAATCAAACATATGTTAATGTTAATTACTAAACTACCCTTAGGGAATACGGTTAGCTCGACCGATATATATTTGTGGAGTGGCCGAGTTTATGTTTTCCTTAAGTTCTTTGGTGTATTCGTGTGACTAAACCCTAATAAGATTGACTCGAGATGCTTCCTCTCCAGTGGACTAGTCTTAGCTATTCTAGCTTAGGAGACCACATAAATCGTGTGCGTGTGAGTGTTTGTGTTTTATTTTTAGTATTGTCTGACAGAGGCGAGGTTGGAGGTGGACGGCCGAGAATGAAGTGACCAAGGTGAGCGAACTGTCTTGTGTGGCATTGAATTCTGAGAATTCCTGTGCTGCCTCGATAGAGAGAGCTCAATAATGCAAGAAGGAAGCTGGTGATTCAAAGTCGATTCCCTAGTCGGACGTTGAATCGATGTGATAAATCCGGAAAGTAATAGGAGAGAGATGAAAGAGAACGAAGTTGTTGTTTCCGTAGCTCATGAATCATGCTTGATGCATAAATCTGTAGAAGAAAGCAAAATCATAGCAGCAGAGCTTTCATATGTATTCAAATAATGAAGTTGATGTGGTCCATGTCGATGAGTTGGTGGTGGTTGATCAAAGTAAAACAGCTTGGCCTCTCTCCGAGAGGAGCTCGCTTGCTTGGAGCAATTCTCTTGTGATGAAGTCGTTTCGGATTGCTCATCCAGTCACGACACAGCGTTCACGGAGCTTTAGTCTGATGTATTCCTGGATATCTTGTCAGAGCTAGATTTGTCTTCTAATTACACGCCGTCAATCTTCTTGGATACTGGAAGCCAATTCTCTCATTAATCAGATAGCCAGTCTTTGGGCAAGTCAATAAACAAAGTCTGACGCCACGGTATACTGACACAAAACTAGCATATGTATGGTTCGACAACTGTGGTGCACCATTCCCTTTCTAGCAGCTGCCAACCAGAACTAGCATTTGGCCATAACTAGAAAAAAAAGCCAAGTAGCCCGTAGTTTGTTAGTATACATGCTTTGCTCATTTGCTGCTTTGAACCTTGTATTTAGAGTCGCTGAATGCTAGTTGTATGACTCTGTGCTACTATTATAGCACCATATTCTAGACGGGTTTCCTATAATGTCTAATTTCCTCGTCTAATCCTTCATATTGGAATGTTTGCTTTGAATAATGAGCCGGAATCATGTGCAAAAGAGTTCCACCATGAGACAACATTCATCACTGCGAGCCTACTTGACAGGTTCCTCGATAAAGGAATTTTTATGATTAAAAGAACCTTTCAAATTGTTTGAATAGCATGCCTTATGCTAGCTACCTGGATGGAAGAAAATCAACCATATAACAGGCAATTAATAATCTCAATCTAGTCTCTAAGGATAACTTCATCTTCTAGATATTGTTATGAATGGTGAAATCATTTTGGTTTGAGCAGCGTGAGGGAAAGCAAATTTGTTATAAACATAAATTCTGGCCCTTTTATCTATTTTGGACTTGATTGTCATCTATTTCTATTTTATGGATTTTGGATGATATTTGGGGGGTTTTTGGTAGTATTTGAATATTTTGGATATGAATAAAACTCATTATTTTGAGAAGATGACAAACAAATCACAAGAAACTGTGAAGGAAACCGTGACCGCCAAGGACCACACCAAACAAGACGCACTGATGCAGGCCTTGAAGGATGTGGCGGTATAATAAGTTGCGACAACTGATCAGCTGAGGTTGACCAAAGAGCAGCTGACGACCACCACGGAGCAGACGTCGGTGGATCTCAGTGACTTAACCCGAATGCATCACTTTAAAACTCATGATTAATGCCCAAATATAAACCTTAATCGGGTGCATTATAGGGCAACTATGTTTAAATATCGACCCGGGCCGGTTCATATACCCCTACTTCAATTGTTTGTAACATTTTCTAGCGGTTGGGTTTTGGTGAAAACAACAATCTAAAGTTAAAGTGCTTGCAAATATAAATGGATTTGACACTAATTGAGAAGGCTTCACCCAAGTGTTGCTCCCCCTAGCTAGCAATTATGACTTGATGGATCGAATGGCCGTCTGTGGTGAGGGGGTTGTAAACCATAGGGAAGTCTAACAAGTCGCCAATGCCACCGTCTTAGTCTCTAGGTTGAGGATAGGGAATACGATCCAAGTAACCAATGTGACTCTCACGGCCTATTGATTAAGGATTGGTTAGACTTCACCCTCGAATCGGAGTTGGGATGGCAACCCACAACCTATAAATTGCCCAAGAAAACCCAACATTCAAGCCTCTTTCAATGAAAGGAATGAGGTTTTCTCTCTACCTAGGTTAGAATGGCAATCAGATTGATAGGTTTTTACACAACACAATCATTCATGAATAATACCTCCATATTCACATTAAACACAACCACACAAATCATTCAATTCACACAATCATTCACATAATTGTAGCTAGGGTTTACAAACACACAAGGGAGAAGAAGGAAAACCATCAAAGATATGCTAGCTTTGCTACTTGTGTTGAAGAGATCCTCGTTTGGGGGAGGAATCCCCGATTCCTTGCTTGAAGATGAAACCCTAGCTTCTACTCTTCTTTGGTTCGTCACTTTCTCACTCTAGAAATATGAAGAAGAAGATGTTTCTCACACTATTTCTCTCCCTTTTCTCCTTTGGCTCAACCTCCTTTATATACCCAGATCGGGCTCAATTCACGGTCTTAGTTCACAGCCGTGAACTGAAAGCACAGACAGTGAACCAACTATGAAATGCGCCGCATCACTTAACTTTGTTCATGGACGGAGGTTTGAGTTCACGGTCTTCTGACCGTGAACTGGCTCGTGTGCAGTGAAACCCTTCCGTGCTTTGGATGCCTCCCGTTCACAGTCTTAGTGACCGTGAACTCACAGCCCAAACCATGAACTGCTGCTGTTTCCACCGTTTGACATGATCTTTCGCCCTTTCATCCAACTTTTGACTCCGGGTTTGGTTCCAACTGCCAAAGCCCGACGAATACCAAAACAAAGCACAACCCAGCATAAAACGAAACCTCCTCTTAGAATATGAATTTCTTATTTATAGGTTTTGTAACACCCTACCCTATACGTATTATCTAATCATATTGTTCATACATTTGCAGAAGAAATAATCTCGGGTGTTACATTAATTACCAAAATTTACCCAAATAAAATTTCGACATGAAATACTCGCGTAATGGGCTAACAGTTCTTGCAACTAGACCTGCAAAATAATTTATACAAATATATGCATTTATAGACATACATATATACTCACAACCATATACTTTGACTTTCATAGACATAGTCACAGTTTTCATACTCCATAACTGCATACCATACTTATACATGCAATAATCATCAAAACTTACACAATTACACAAATATACACATATCATCAACTTCCCATACCTGTAGATATCTCACTCTACATCAGAAGCTAGTATGCACATGAAAAACGTTCTCAAAACATTTTTAGAAAAAGGTGTGGATCACTGGCCAAAATCCCAAGTAGTTGTCCAAGAACAGAATAGTTGAAGACCATACCTCATCTTTGCTTCAACTCCTCGCTCTGCTCACACTTATGCACTTGCTACTGCTACTGCTGATGATCTGCTTACACAGAGTATAAGCAGAGGAAAAGAATCAAAGAGGGTCAGCTCATAGCTGAGTGAGATAATCATAGCATCGTGAGTTCATAAAAGAGCATACCCCTACCATACATCTAGTAAACAAGCCAAAACACTAGGATCAGACCTCGGCCATCCGGCATCCCAATAGGGAAAAGACGCAACCACCTTGACTTATGCATATGCATCTTATCATGTTTTAATCATAGGCGTTTGGATACTCTCATGCTAATACCTCTCCGGGGAAACATACCTCACATCCCGTCGGATGTAGTCATACATACACTAACATCCCGTCGGATGTGGTCATACATACCCCACACCACTATGGGTGTAGTCATACCCCGACACCGCTCTAGGTGTGGTCATATCTCGTAAGAAATCTTCAGTCGCCACCACATGAGAGGTGTGACTATCATACATATCATAATAGAGTAATAGCATAGGGAACCCTAATTACTATGTAGTTAACCGTGAGACCACAACACTCATATTTGATATCCTTATACATGTATGCAATCATCAGCATAAACAAGGTCCATATCGATTAGGGCAAGTCAATAATATCATACATCAGTCCACGGTTCAACATATAGCACAAAATTTCATACACCCCTAATCTTGCCATTCTAGTTCACCTAGGTCAATTCTAAGCATCAATATAATTATCGTGATACGACAAACCCGGTATGCCGTGCTAATCCCTCACCAGTTCTGGTCGTTCAAACACCAGTTCTAGCCTCCCGTACCCCAACTTCACTTTCTCAAACAAACCCGGGTCAAAATCCGAGGTTGTCCTAATATCCCCTACAGTGTCCCCGTCAATGTTAGTTCTAGGCTCCGGATAAAATTCTTGATAAAAACACATCAAACCCTGGCCGGAGCTAAATTCAGCGATTTGGACCCTGACCTATGTAATTTCCGAAATTCATGGATTTGAACCAGAGGATTAATTTCCTCGTTGCAGGAAGCTCGTAAATGAAATCTGCCGGATACTCTGAAACCCTAATTTGTCTTATCGGGAATTCAAGAAATTCCTGAACCAAAAGCTCGTTTTAAAGCTCTAAATCGATAAACTGCGATGTATGGATGGATTAGGCATTACTTACGGGATTTTTGGATCACTAGGGCTCAAGAATTGAGCTTTGGAAAAGATGATGATGGGGGGAAATAAATGGACCGGGGGGAAAAGGAATATATATAAGTGGTCTGACCGCTTGATGAATTATATATATAATATGTTGGGTCACTACTGGACGGCGAGACTTAACGCAGTAGTTGACCGGCCATGGACTGGACGGCGAGATGTAACGCAGGGCCATTGCCGAGTTTCGGTATGCAACCGGACGACGAGACGTAACACGTTTGGCATACTAGGGTAGGGACACCGGACGATGAGACGTCGCGCAGTGGTCCGTAGTGTTGGTATCTATGGATTAAGAATATAAGTAAGGAAATTCTAAAGATAAGATTGGAGTAGAGATCTATTATAGAATGTTTGATAACAAAGTATAAAGTATGAAAGCGAGAACGACTTTTGTCTAAGTCAGGAACCCTAATAACGTGTTTAGTAGGGAGTTCGCCTAGGGCAAAGACTTTAGGAAGTAACGACGAGACTGACCCCTTCCCACTCACCAGGTCGAGGAAGGGTTCGCAGAGGCGGATTTCGAGAAGAGGCAAGGCTAGGCGAGTAGCTGCACCAGCATTGATGAGAAGTCAAGGAACTCGTGAAGAGTCAGAGCTAGAATAGTTTACTTTCTTTGTTACATGGTTAGGAGTGTAAACTGGAGATTCTGAGTTCATTCATTTTAACTGTTGGGATTGTCATTTGCCCAAGTGTTTAGGATTTTTGTTTGAAATTCTTAAACATTGTCAGTTTATTTATTTTAAAAAGTTGTTTGGGTTGCTCCGGAGTAACCGGTTTTTGGTTTGAGTTATGGTTTGGTTTTCAAAAAAGAGCGGGTCGTTGGATTTTGCTTGTCCCCAAGCAAACCATTTTCAACCTAGGTGATATCTCAACCTAACAAGATAACTTGGGGACAATTCAAAAGGCACAAAGCGGTGAATCTCAATGACTATTTGGGCATCAAGACATGAACCGCCTCAACAATACCAACATCCACCACAAACGACATTCGATTGCATCAAAAATGGGCAAATGAAAATTTCTCACCCTGTTCACAAATCAATGCAAGTCTTGACCGGACTACTCACCAACCACAACTAACCATGCAAAGAACTTAAGTCGAAGGAATAGACAACGGGGCAACATAGGTCCTCACCGGGGTAAAATATGACATACAAAACAAGAATGAATCACTCACTCTCAACTAGTGGGGTCCGGACCTTTTTGGTGCAAAATATGTTCATAATCATCAACACTCAGCCCTATCGTCTCTCCACCACGGCAACCTCTAAATGCTAAAGTTTACGAGACGATTGTCATCACTAGCATGTCCGAAGGTACTAGACACGGGTTCAATGACTGGCAATTGTATTGGACATGGGGAAAAGGCTTTTTGGGGGGGGGGTAGCAAACATGGCATGAGGTCCTACATCTTCAACCTAAAACCCAAGGTTCTACGGTCTCGATTAAGAAAATTTCCTACAAACGACGGCCAGTACCACCAGCAAAAAACCACACCTCACTTCTTCCAAACCACTACCAATCATGAATAACATTCAAGCGCACACCTTCAGCCTATCTAGCTATCCACATTTTGATCCTAGTATTGAAGGAGGTCATCAAACAATTTAGGTGTTTCATTGGCTTGAGTGCCAAGAAAACCTTTCTAGAGCATACACATTTAAGAACTTCCATCCAACACTACCTTCTTATTTGTAGCAAGAACCAAGCAAAACCACCTATGTAAAACCTCAATGGAGCTGAAAAGCGAGATCTCCGAGACACAAGGACGACTCACACTTTGACACAAAAAAGGATGGGTGAGGGTCATTCTTTCAATCACCATTAAGCTCATCAAGCATGAAGCTCCAAGCATTAGAACGACCCCCAAAGTCACACAACTCAAAGGGGTTTAATAGGTGATAAAATGTTTCGGGACAACCAACTTTTGGGCGTTGACTAATCCTATGCCTCCATCGTACTCACTAGTGACAATGGTGAATGTTACATACCATGGCGAGAGGGATCTATCACACATGAAAAAGACAATCGACATAAAACTCACATGGCTACCTAGCCGCCCA